AATATATTTCATTCTTATAAATTATTTAACATTAAAATGGAAATAGCATCTTAATTCTTTTAAATCCACACTAATCATTTATTCATGAAAAATGATATTGACAAGACCAAACCCTCCACTTAAAATCTTTATAATAAAGTTTTTATTTATAGGATAATCTTTAACAAGAGATAAAGAAGGAACAAAAAAGAGTATTAAGTTATTGATTACTCTACTCAGCGACCATTACTTTGAAATTCTGTAAAGATCTCAAGCTAGAGTATGAATTAGACATTTCGCTGAATTAAACAAAAATAAGTTCATAATAATTCTGGCCAAAGCACATATAAATTTATAAAATCTATTCAAAATTTGTATTAATTTAGATATGCACATGATACCAAACTAAAACTTAAAAAAAGGTGGTACAAAAATTCAAACCAAAGAATTATCAGAAGAAGAATTTAGATATCTATTAGAAATCTTAAATGAAATATATAAATATTTGAAATATAAGCTAAATTATTTTTGTAAATATGATTTATTAAAAGCCAATATTTTCCATTAGGATAGTCTGTTGTTTATTTTTATTTTTTATTAATTTAAATATGTCCGATCATCTAAGTGATATATCAAAATTATTTCAATTATCAACAAAATATAAAATTAAAAAAGATTATTAATAATTAAGAATAACACCTTCATCTTCCAGTAAGAATAGAAGGATCGAATCAACTATGTTTTTGAATAGATTCTTATAAGCTGATGCTATTTTAAACTTTCGTTTATTATTTTAAACTTTTATTTTCAAAAGGTTAAATAATAACTGCTCTTTCTCCCCTTCAGATTAATAAACCACCTCTTCTTAAAATGGAGCATGTACATTTTTTTTTTAATTTAAAAAAAAACGTATAAAGCAATGATTCTTTTGAAAACCCGAAATGTTTAATAATAAGGAGCAAATCCATCATAAGGTTAGGATGGTAAAAACAACAAGAAAGTTAATAAATGCATTTTGGGATAAAAAAACTTTTAAAGAATATTTGGGATAAAGTTAAATTTTTATTTATAATTTATACTATAAAGAATGGTAAAAGTAGAGATTATGGAAAGATCTATTCCAAAACTATTGGAAGAAAGTTATTGAAAATTAACATTATAAATAGTTTAAAATTGGAAAATGGAATTACTATTGTTAAGGTGTGAAGATGTATAAATTTTACAAATTATTTGGTGGTGATTTATACAACAAAGATGATTATAAGTAAGGTAAATAGATCAAACTTGATGAAGGTTACTATAGTGAAAGAAAAGTCTCTCATTATGATGAATATGATGCGAATTGTAGAAAGTTAGGTGGATGGGATATTATGAATTGCAATGTATAAAGGAAGGAATACAAATAAATGTTAATAATTTAAAATTAAAAGGGAATTTTAAAAAGAGAGGTGGTGAATCATATGATTAAGAAAGGAATTAGAAAAAGATTGGAAAGTGGGTTGAATCGGATGAAGAATATAATGATAAAAAGGTTTTTATAGTGAATACAACATGAATGGTAAGAGGATGGGCTATGATGTATTGCTAGCATAGAGAAGGAATATAAATAAATGTAAATATTATATAAGTATAAGGTGAACATACAAATAGTGGAGTAGTGGAGGCGGATTGTACGATTAACAAGGAAATTAGATAAAAATTGAAAAGTGGATACTTGAGCTATTTTAAAACAAATATTTTTTTAAAGCTTCACTATTAGGCTTATGCTTACTATTTTATTAAATATATGCACAAGAACAATAACTATTTACCATACAGAATTTTAATAAATTAGATGTAAAAACAGGTTAAATCTGTTCCATCTCAGTATTTTTGGCTGTTATTAGATTCAATTTTGAGTATACATACAAATAATCAAATTTTATATGTTAAATTCATTAATAATAATAAGAAAATTAAAAGTTTGATTAAGCCATTATGTTGGAAAAGTTTGCTTTAATCTTTTCTATCTTTTTCACTTTCAGCTATATTAAATTAACTCATTAATAGAACGAAAATTCTAATATCATAGAAACAATTATAAGAGGAAATTATCTAAATGTACTAACTTCAAATAGTGGAAGTTTAATATCATCAAAAAATAAAAATTAACTGCTGAAAATAATGATGGAGTCTTCTTAAGAGACTCAATTTATTAATTGTTATTAAAATTTGGTTTTGTATGGTGTTACAAAGGATAGTCTATTTAAATAGATCTCTTACAAAAATATGAATTGAATACTATAAAAATCTGGTTTTATGATTTAGATGACAGATTGTATTGAGTAGAAATATTTATCAAATTAGCAAATACTGAAACAAAGATTATGATAGTAATTTAGCAAAAACCATTGTCACAATAACATTTCCAGCTTATTAAGTTGAATCCTTAAGGATACAGAGGATTTATCTACTAAAGTTAGGATTATTAAATGACAGCAAATGACATCAGAGATAGTTGCGGATAGTTTATTAATTTTTAATTTTGTATTATTTATTTCCATTAGCTGCCAGCATTTTACATAAAGATCTATACACACGTCAATTGTAAGCTAACTGTATTAAGGATTTGCTTATGAATAAGTAATTCTATATAGGTCTTGAATTAGTAAAGTTTTGTCGTATAATTTGAAGGCTGGGTAAGAAAATGTTAATGGCGTAATCATGATTTGGTTGTTCCAATTTTTAATGTTTAAAAATGATTTATTTATTAAGTTATTCATAATCTATAAGTAAGCTCGACTGCCCTTTAAAATATCCAACTTAGATATATAATTTACATTAAAATTAAAATTTTTAGTAAATGAATGAATTTTATTGCTTTGTTTAGAGGAGCAATTGTTTTTTATGTTCTAAAACACATGAAACAGGCTGGATGTTATCATTTACTATTTAAGGATCAAGAAGTTATCGATGTCTTTTAACTTTGGCTTATGTGGACCAAATTAAGACTGGGAAGAAAATTTATTTTTTTAAGATCATCTGCCTTTCTGTGACCAGAATCATAGCAAACTCAATCCAACTGGAATGTTTTCATTTTTCCTGTCTGTGTATGTATGAGATGTTTTTACTAAAAATTCCCCATCAATAGAGCTTACTAACACCTATCTTATGTTTAGATTAGGAAATAAATTTGATAAAAAAACTTGATATCAATATTTTTTATTCATTATAGAAATTATATATACTAAGTGATATAATAAACATGAAAGATATAAAATTTTAAAGAGGCTTATAAGCAATAAGGAGAAAGTGGATACACAACTTACCTAATCTAAAAAGAAATTTCTTTGAAATATTTAGCCGAAATTTTTAAAATTCAAAAAAATAATGAATAATCAATCTTTCAGCTTAAATGATAACTGAACAATTATCATTAACACATCCAAATTTTCAAATATCTTCTAAGTGTTAA